CCCCAAAACCCCAAAACCCCAAAACCCCAAAACCCCATTTAAATCAACATCATTATAATAAATTAAAAATTACACAAAATGGTAAAAGTTTTTATTTGAATTTTTTGTCTGAACAAAGTTGTTATAGGCCAAGCAGAATTCACTATTCACCATATTTTTAGTGATGATGTGTCTAGTATTTGGTAAAGAATATGATAAACTTTATAGTCACTTCCTTGGATATGTCTATGTCGGCTGCTAATACTGAGATAGAGGCATCAACTACATATACGATTGATTTGTCCTTCACAACCTCTTTGCCTACCAATGCGATCATATAATTATCACATTCCCTTCATCATCATACTCAACATTCCAGAGTGGTGCAGTGGCTGGGTGTACAGCTGCTCCTTCTACAGTAAACTCATGTACTGCTGACAGCTCAGCCAAAACGATTACTCTTGACTTGACAGCTATCCCATTCTCATCAATAACTCTAACAATTCCAGGCATTACCAATCCTTCTTCAACAAGCGGTGTCTCTGGGTACGGTGCTTCTTTGACAAATGAAGATACAGGATCAATATTAGACTCTCTGAGCAGCTCTGGAGTCCTTTTCACTCCAACCCCAAAGACCCTGACTTCTGCTACAATCTCCTTAGCAACTGGTTTCACTAATACTGTAGGAGCAACTATCGATATCCTTGTAGAGCTGACATATGCCTCTGCAATTGAAGCAAATAGTGTAGTAACTGTCTCATTCCCTAAATGGGAGAGTACCTCAGATGGAGCTTCCTCGCCCTCCTCTTGCCTTAGTAGCTCAATAGCTTGTCAAAACAATGCTGATAGTAGCTCACTAACATGCTCATACACCACAGGATCTGGATCTAATAATGATGTTCTTACAGTTTCAGGATTATTCACATCTGCAAAATCAGCAGGTGACACTAATACAATCAAAATCAAGAATTTTCTCAATTACTCCCAACTGAGAAGCTATTCTGTGGATATCAGTGTTAATACAAATTCAGGCTCAGCAATAAATTCGAAGACAGGGATCACGATGACTCCGACAACAGCTACAACTCTGTCGTCAGCAGCAGTTGCTGTGAGTAGCTCAGCAGTTAATGCTCAGGCTACGTATTATATCAACATCCAGCTATCAACTATTCTTCCAATAGGGTCTTATGTTCGAATAATTCTTCCAAGCACGGTATCTTATAAAGATTCCTCTGATACTGATATATTGGCAACAGTAACTTCTCCAGGGGTTTTGAATAACCCAACGATTGACAAAACAGGACTTGTTGCCACAAATCCTTACTTTGACCTCACTGGAATGGTCACGAGTAGTTCAAATTATAGGACGAAAGATCAATCGTTCCTACTACAGATTGATAAACTGAATAATCCTCCAAGCATTGCAACTTCTGGAAGCTTTACAGTAGAACTATATGATTCTAGCAACAACTTGTATGAATCTAAAAATAGTGGCATGACTATCACAGCATCTGCGGGAGCGCTTACAGCAGGATCAATTTACTTTAGTGCTACTAGCACTTCTGTGTTAGACCCTGTAAATTTCTCTGTGTCTCTAACAACTGCAACTGCTGTGAGCCCTGGTACGTCAGCTAGCATTCTAGTCACTTTCCCATCAGAGTTTACACTATCCGGAAGTTCATGAACCCTGTCAAGCTTAACAGGGTTTAGTTCTTCCTCATGAGCTATCTCTGGCCAAGTTGTGACTATCTCTAATTTTGCTACTGATACTCTAACTGCTGGAGAAGCATTTGGTTTCACAATTGGCACTAATGTAATTTCCTTGCCTTCAAACACAGCTACATCTAGTGCTTTCACCATAGAGACACAACTATCTGGAAGCAGAGTTGATGTTATTTCAAGCTTAACTTGGAGCCAAACAACTGTTGGATCGATGGGCTTACCTACTCCAAATACAAATGCTGTAGTGCCAGCATCATATGTCACTTATGCAAGTACTACTTATACCTTTCAATTGTTACCTCCTCATGCTATTGAGCAGAATGCAGTCCTGACTGTGGAGTTTCCATCTGAAGTCACTCTTCCGTCAACAACCACTTGTACAAGTGTTTCAAATATTGGATCTGGGCTAAGCTGAGCAATCAGTGGAAGCGTGATGACTGTTTCGAATGGATATTCATCGGGCTCCCAAGCCTTCACAGGCTCTGAGGTTTTGAGTTTCACAGCTACATCAATTACAAATCCTAGATCCTTACAAGCAACAAGCACCTTTAAGTTTGATGTGAAATCTAGTGGAGGAGATAGTATATATACAGTCACTAATCCAACCCTAACAATGACGACAGCTGCAACTTTGAGTTCTGTGTCTATCACACAAACACTCAGTACTAATGGCGCAAGCACCTCTTACACTTGGTCTTTTACTACGAATTCAAAGATTGTTGCAGGAGATATCTTTAAAATAACACCACCATCAACTATTACATTCTCGAGCCCAACATGCACAGGAGTTAATGGATTAGCATCATCTTTAACATGTTCAGTGAGTTCTGGAAACCTTCTAGTCACAATTGCATTTGCAAGAAGAAATTTGGCATCTGGAGATCCTGGATCTTATTCATTCAGAACAACTGGAGTTACAAATGGACCAAGTACTGCTCCATCATCAGCCTTTACTATCCAAAGCCTTCTTAGTGACCAGTCTACTCTTATTGAACAATCTACTACCTCTACTGTGACTAACACTCAGGCAGGAACGATTACCAGTGCTTCTGCTTCTGTTGATTCTGTTTCTCTTAGCACAGCCGTTACATATACACTAACCTTTACACCAGTGAACTATGTACAAGGAATGTCATTCAAAATCACCTTGCCTAGCCAGTTAAGTATCAGTGATGGGACGAATACCTGAACTAATCTTCAAGGCCTCACAGATGCTACATTCAACTGTGTCTACACAGCTTCAACCAGGGAAATAGTGGTAACTGGGCAGTTTTCTGGAACTTCAAACCCAGGACAAGTATCATTATCAATGCCCTCAATTAATAATCCTTCAAGCTATGGAACTACGAATTCATTCTTGGTGAATACTTATCATACCCAAAGTTCTACAGATTATGCTATCGATCAGATTACAACTGGGATCACAGTCAGTGTGGCATGAGATTCTACCTGCCTCACATGTGGCTCTGTTTCTACCTCCTGCGAGTCTTGAGATGTTACCAGTTCTTATAAATATCTTTTAAGCAACCAATGTCTAACTTCTTGCCCTGATGGTTATTATGCGAATACAAATGCATGCTCAACATGAGATTCTACTTGTAAGACCTGTAGTGGAGATGCCACTACATGAGTCACCTGTAATGTAGGCAGGTATCTCTTTAGCTCACAATGAGTTACAACTTGTCCAACAGGATATGAACCAAGTGGAACAGAATGAGTGGTTCAGACTACAACTTCTTCTGACTCTTCATCTGAAGGAATTATCCCATTCCCATTTCTACTGGTTGTCTGTATTCTTACTTTCGGGTCTTTATTTCTAAAATGAGTTAAAAGAGACACAAGGTTCTTACCCACAACAATTGCATTGATTTGCTTAGTTGAGCTGGTTGCATGGGGATATCTTGGATATTTACTGTACCAAAAATCATACAGAATGAGTACCGGACTAGTTGCATTCGGACTTCTAGCAGCCTTTCTTACTAACATTATCTTCTTTTGAATCTACTGAGGTTCTATCAGAAAGGATAGAGGGTTTAAGCGTTTCAGAAACAAGAGAAAGTGTTGTCATTGATGAATACTTACACTCTCATTTACCATATGGCATAGACTCTTTAGGATGTCTTATAGCTACTTTGCTGGTTCAAGAGGGCTTGGAGGTGTTCTCACCACATCTCTAGTCAGCGTAAGAGTTCTCTCAATGCTATCAATATGTCTCAGTAGCTGTCCTATTCTCTGAGCTTGAGCTTATAACTTGTTCTACACCAACAGAAATGAACAAGTCTGGTGGACTGATTGAGAGGTGACCTTAATCACGATTTACTCAATCGTATTAATAATTCTGGAAATAGCAAAGATGCCAAAGTACAAGCTTCCCAAAAAAGAAAGAGGATTCGATAGCATAGAAGGTATAAATCAATCATCAAGCGAACTCGTAGCAAGCACTCCTGAAAAAGATGATGTGAACCCAATCTCCAGAAGAGCTCTCGGCAGAAAATTTGAAGAAGTTGGGATAAAAGAAGATGAAGAAAAGTTTGATATTTTTGGAGCCCCTATTCCGATTAATGAGGACCATCCCAAAATGAGATATTCCATCCAAGGGACCAAGAATCCAATGCACCCAGATGGCCAAACAAATTTAGATGATAGGAGAATAGCTAGTGAGCCAGATTTAAAATACAAAGATTATGAATCTCAGCCTAAAAATAATAATTCTAGATTAGATGATTTCATTTCCCAAATAAAAGCTGGCAAGCCTCTCCTGCATGATCCCAAAGAAGAGAAGAAAGATACAGAGCGATCTCTGACTCCTCATGAGGACCATAGTGACCTTAACAAAACTGAAGATAAACCTTCTCTTGACGAAGACAAAAAGATAGATTTTACAGGTAAATTCTTGATCTAATCTTCTAGAAGAAAATGATGGATTCACACAGTACCAGAACACTGAAGAGAAGACTCTTGACAACCTAAACAATACTCTAAAAGAGCATGGCGGTACAGACCAGAACAAGGATGCGACACCTGAGGAGAATCATTCAGTCATCCCAGAGGACGAGAAGGATGACAATCCCTCAGAAGAAGCTAAGGAAGATCTTCTCTCACTCGAAGGCTCTCAGAAGAAGCTTGGAACTGATGGTGACCAGCCGTCTCTTGAAGGAGACAACAATCTCATCTTTGCAGGGATTAATGGAGATACTGGCCATAAGACCAATGATTCTCCGGAAGGAGACCAAGAAGACCATCCTGAAGGGGATCATGAGAGTCAAGAGAAAGCAGACCAAGACAAATCTCCTGAAGAGATATCTGAAAAAGACTCATTCTCTCCTAAAGAAGTACAGGAGAGTTCTAAAGAGTCTGAGAAGAAAGACCCTGATCTTCTGGACCAGGATGATTCCAGGAATGGAGATCTGACCCAAGATAAGCTCATGAATAATGATGAGAATCTATATGATGATCCACAACCACAGGAGATAGAGAAGGCTCTTGACCCTGATGGGTCAGAAAATGATAGCGACAATCTTGATGAAATGAACGAGGAAGCTCTCAAAAGAACAATCTCGGAAAAAGAGCAACCTCTTGATGAAGTCATCAGAAGAAATGAGGAGATTATTGGTGCCCCTGGCCCAGTCAAGACTACTCGTAGTGAAAACGACAGTAGAATTCATCATGCTAGTGATGATAGAGGATCAAAAGAGACTACTAATGGGGTACTTGAGACCCCTCCGCCTGATGACTCTGACGAATTTGAGGCTGATATTGCTGCTGTTGAAGTTAATCCTAAAAACGCAAAACCAAGAGTATTCTACAGTAATAAATCTGAATCCTCAGTTGAGTCAATGATGGCTGATACACCTTCCAACTACAACATCCTTAACGGGAGATTTGATGAAAAGAAAGGGTCAAAAGGCATGCCTCCCAGAAGTATGCTTGATAAGTATAATGCAGGGTCTCAAAGAGGTAAGCCTAGCCTACAGAAGGGCTTAGATGTGATTTCAGAAGTTCCAAGCAAGCCTCCTTCTAACCTGAATACAATCAAGCATGTCAAGACAACCAAGAATGAAAGAACTTTTGTAGACTCAGTTGTTGGAAGTGAGAAAAACTCATACATGGGAGACGGAGTAGTAGCATCTCATGCAGGAAGAATCGCTGATAGTGATAAGGGACCACTATCAGATCACAACCAATCTCAAAAGACATATGATATCAGGAATAATGGGCCTGGTAGTATCACTGCAAAGTATCCGATAAGTACTCTTGAGCAATCCAAGAAACTTCACAGGGATTTGAAGTATAACCAATTTATGACCTCTAATAAAGACTCTGAGCTAGATTCAGCCAATGGAGGTCATGAAAATAAATCTAACGAGGAATCTAAACACTCTAAGGCTGACCCTGAGCTCAAAAACGAACTTCGCTCTGGCCTTCCTCCAATTAGATATCCTAAGCCAAAGAAAAAGACGACTGCGAAGCCAGAATGGAAAGTCAAGAATGGAGCTAAAGCTAGTTTGACTAACATAAATGACCTAGAAGCTGCTTATCTCTCCAATAGATAAGTGCATTTTGATGTATTTTCCCTAATTCAATCTAAACAGAACCCTTTGGGGTTTTGGGGTTTTGGGGTTTTGGGGTTTTGGGG